CTGCAGGATCCCATTCCTGTGAAGTTTCCAGGACAGGCAAATCTATATAGAGAGAGAGTGGATTGCCTGGGTCAGCAGGAGCTGAGGAGGGAAGATTGAAAATGGGTGTGGGGTTTTTTTTGGAAGACGGTGGTAAAAATGTTTTAAAATTAGATAATGGTAATGGTCGCAGAATTCTGTGAATATGCTAAAAATCACCGAATTGTATATTTTAATTGGATGTATTTTAGGGCATGTGAATTATGGCTCATTAAAGCTGTTATTTCTTTTTAAAATCTCATTCTACGGGTCTTCTTATAGGCTCGGGGCCTTCCTGAGAACAGGGAGTGTAAATTCGCTCTAGGTCTACAATCCGCTAGAAAGTCGCCAAAGCAGCTCCTGCCAGAACAAGGGAGATTCTGCGTCAGGGACAACTTCCAGCTTCTCTCAAAGAATGCAGAATCTGTCTACAGCCTTACCTATTTGAAGATCGGGGCTCGCCTCCCGCAACAGAGTCGCTGGCTTCTTTAGGGTGGCAAGTTAGCTCTGCTGAAGAATATAAAGACTAGCCATAGCCGGGGCATTCAATATGTATGTGCTGAGTGCAGGAAGGAGGAGATCAATGAAAGAATGATTGACATCACTTGTCAAGGCGGTGAGACAGCCTGGGACAGAACCTGGGGTTCTACTTCTGACTCAGCCCTTTTCACTAAACAGCCCCCTTTACTTCTATTTGTCAGGCAAATCCGCTGGCCTGGGAATAGTGCCTGGAGTAAGTCCCCACATTTCCAAGGTCTCCGCTCCTCTCCCCGGGGTGCACTCAGACTTACCGTGTGAAGACAAATGGGCACAAAGCCTTTGCCAGTCCTGTGGGCTTTTTCACACAGCAAGCAGGAAATAAATGACTCAAATGATCCTTTTGGCTTAGACAACTGTTTAAATGGGATTCCACCCTCAGCTGCCAAGGGAGGGGAACTGGGGCGGGGGGGTGGTTCCTTCAGACTCCTTCACAGTGGGTCCTGGATGGAACTGGATGAAGGCTTACACGGTACTGTTTGTTTTACTAAGGGCAAGCCTCTGCTGATCAGGCCGCTGAAAATCAGCTCACAGCAGGAGCAAAGAATCCTTCATTTCACTGGGGAGCACAAGAAGTCTGCCCTCTCTGAAATGTTTCCAGAACAGAGGAAGCCTTGTGCAAGCTCTAGAATGGGCTCGGCCTTCCCAGAGGTTTGCTGCCCAGTTCAGAGGACGGGAGGCAGTTCTGCAGGCCGCCAACACCCTGCGCAGTGAGCAGCACTGCCCTGCGTCCTGTGCCCTGCGCCCTGCAGAAGGGCTGCCTCCTGGGGACTTGGCTCCTCAGGTTTGCTCAAAGGGGTTGCAAGGTAGGCAGACAATGCCCACAGATAACTCATCACATGGGGGTGGGGCAGGGCCACTTGGTTACGAAAGGCAACTTTGGAATCTTGGCTTAGAAGCGATGAGCTTGGGGAGGTGTCCTGTCCTGTTAGAGTTTAGGAGGCCTCATCTATAAGCAAGACCATTCAGGGTATGAAGCGTAGATGACAGAATGTGTGGGAGGCACCTGAACCCCATCTGGAGCATCATAGGAACCCACAAAGATTATTTCCCATCCCAGCATTCAAATCACTCCCTGGGCTGGCCCAACCCACCTCTCGGCCTCTCACAGGCTTTGGCCTCGCCACTCTGGCACTCACTCACTGACCACTGACCACAGCCAGAAGTCCCCACCTCCAACTCTGCTCATTTGCATGGGGAAGGCAGAGAGGAAGGGCTGCGTGGTCAGACAGCCTTCTTCAATTTCTCCTGCGCCTCTAACTAGCAGGACCTCAGGGAAGTTACTCACCTTCTCTGTCTCCGCCCGCTCCACAAATGAGGGCAAGGATTCCTCCACCAGAGGCTCCTTGTGAGGATTAAGTGCGATGCATAGGAGTGAAGCACTTTGAGCCACACTGTATGGTCCACAATAAGCCTCAGTGCAGTCACACAGCTGGAAGGGACTTCTAACTCCCAGCATTTCCTCAGGTGCTTATCATGTGTGTCGTGTCCTTGAAATTAACCATGAGGTCCATTTTCAAGTCTGTACATCTCATTTCCTGCACCAGACTGAGAGCTTCCCACAGGCAGGGCCAAGACTTCTATGGCCGGCCAGTGTCTGCACAAAACTGATTCATTATTTGACCTGGCCTCTCCTCAGAACCACTGAGGAGAGGGGGTAGCACATTCCACCTCTGGGGATCCTTGACTTCACCCTGTATCCCCCAAAATGGTTTTTAACTTAGAATCCATAACCCTAGAGGTTCAAAAGACAGACTTCAGGGAAAATAAACCCCTCCAACTATATGCTACATTGTGTGTGTATGTGTGCGTGTGCATGTGTGTGTGTGTGTGTGTGTGTGTGTGTGTGTGTGTGAGAGAGAGAGAGAGTGTGTGTGAGACTGTATCTTTTGGAAGAGAAATTCTTTCTTTCATGAGATGCTCAGAAGAATGTGTGCTTTCCTTCTTGGCTTTATTTTCTTAAAAGCGCTTAACTCGCTGAAATTCTATTATTTACTTGTTATTGTCTGTTTCCACAACTAGGAAGTCAGCTTCCTAAGGGCTTGTCTTGTTCATGGTTATGGCCGCAAAACCCAAAGCAGAGCCTGCACACAGAGGGTTCTCAATATTTTTTGAGTGAATGAGAAAGTGAGGTACTTTGACTTAAGGGTACAGATCACGCCCTGTACTTGAGGTCTGAGTAAGCCGTGGACAGTCGCCTGGGGCCCTCCTCCTCAAGGTGGCTCTGGCGCTGCAGGTCAGCTGGAGCAGAGACTGGTTCTCTTGGAGTAAGGGGCTACTTAGTGGGGACGCTCAGAGTGCTCAGATTAAATCTGCCAGGAAGAACAGCATTTGAGAACCTCTGCTCTATTACCTGTTGCTGTGTGACACATTTTCCCAAAACCTATTGGCTTAAAACAACGTTACTGTGTTTCATGATTTTGTCGTTAAGAATTCAGGCAGACACTGCTTAGCTGGGCGATTCTTCTGCCCCACTGGCATTGACTGAGGTTCACTTGATGGCATTCAGCTGCCTGATGGGCTGGTCTTCAGGATCCAGGAGAGCTTCCCTCACAGGTCTGGTGGCCTGTTGGAAGGGTAGAAGGCTGTGCTCAGTGGGGACTGTCTACTGGAGCACCTGCATTTGGTCTCTCCAACATAGCAGGTTCAAGGTAGTCAGACTTCCACACATCATCCTGGGACACAGAGGCTGTTCCAAAAAACGAAGGCAGATGTAGCATGGCTGTTTTGACTTGGCCTTGGAAGTCATGTAGTATCACTTCTACTACATCCTATTGGCCACAAGAAAGTCACAGAGCCAGCCCAGATTCAAGAGAAAGGGACAAGAACTACACAGGGGCATATATACCATTGAGATGGGGGTGGGGGCATCTGTGGGGCAAGGCACCACAGCTTCTCTCTGTGCTGGGCTGAGGGACAGAGTCTCAAGCCGAGGGTGCTGAGGGTGGCTGGGAGAAGCCCAAGAGCCTTACACCTTTAACTGGCTTTCCCTAGAACAAGGATCAAAGGACTACTGACCCCCCAAAAGTCTCAACCACTCGGACCTCCAGGTGATTTCACTTCTATTTCAATACTTTGTCCAAGATAACTGTTCAAGAAAGATATCATGTTCCAAGCACTAACCACATATTGTATTCTTACATGCTTATTGTTTCATCCACATCTGTGATCATACTTCCTTTGGAGGGCCTGCAGACCCAATGAAGAGAAGGGTGTCCTCTCTTGGCACCATTGCTCAGGCTCCTTCAACCTTCGAACCCCTTGGCTATCTGAATGTGCCAATCCCCAAAAAACTAGGCCTGAGAATTCAATAGTGGCTGGTTGTTCTGGAAACACCTAGAGTTATACTTCGGGTGAGAGCAGTACCATTCCCAAAGCGCTCCTAGTTGCTCCAGCTCCACGCAGGGCAGGTCACGACACAACCCAATCAAAGAGGCTGAAGGGAGGGACCGGAACACTCTGGGTAGGCAGCCGGGACTCTGGCCACAGACCCTGCCCTTTGGCAAAGGGAGAGAAAGTGGCCCCCAGGGAGAAAGTCACAAATGACCTCACAGATGTGAAGACTACACAGGGAAGCACTTCTCTGAGAACTGATGACCTCTGGTAAAATGCGGGGGACTCCACCTCTCCTTCTCAACAGAACTCTCCACAGTAAAGCTGAGAAGAATAGGCTGAGTGTGAAAGAGCTGGTTTGAGTCCTAGCTGGGTCACCCTGGAAAAGTTACTGAAACTCTGAATCTCCTAGGTAAAATGGGGATGGATATTGTCTGCCTCACCATTGGGAAGAAAAAACGACAAGATGCATCGAAAGTACCTTGCGCAGTGCTTGGCATATAACAAGTACTCAACCACAAACTGTCTTAGGTATCATTACTGGGTTGGTAACTCTAGCAGCTACATCGAACCTACTTTCCTTTGCCACTTCCCTGGTCCAGTGTAGAACACCTGTTCTAGATCAGCACTGACCAAGAGACACATCACGTGAGCCAAACATATAAATTAAAATTTTATAGCAGCCTCCTTAAAAAAGGTAAAAATAAGAGAAATTAATTTTGATGATATATTTCATTTAATTCCATATATCAAAAATATTGCAACATGTAATCAGTATAAAAATTATTATAAGATTTTTGAAACCCTTTATCTTAACACTAGGTCTTCGAATCGGTGTGTACTTACACTCACAGCACAGCTAGATTTGGACCCACCCCTTTTCAGTGCTCAGTAGCCACACGTAGCTATGGTGGCCCTACTGGACAGTGCAGGACTAGAAGGAGGAGCTGGGTGGCCCTTCCTTGTCCAGAGCTAAGTGGCCTGGATATTGGTAGAATTCTGGGTTTGTGTTTAAAATGCAAAAACTCTCTCCCCAAGGATGACAACCTTTTCTGCAATACTCTCCTGCTGTGGTTGAAAAGAAGAGAAAGAAAGGCCAATTATCAAATATATGGTTTCTTTTTCTTTATATCCATAGCAGATTCGTAATAATATACAATCATACAGAACCTGGCTTGTCTTGACAGAAAGAATATTCTTTATTTGTACAAATGAAAAAAAAGAAAACACCCTGGTTTTGACTTGTGGCCAGCAGGGCCTAAGGTAATCAGGACCCAGACAGGACATGACCAAATGGATCATTCTGGGTAAAAATGAGTACTGGGGTTTCCTGGAGAGTTCCCGTCCAGGGGCACTGGGCCCAGAGAGCCACAGAAAATGAGGGTTAAGGAGCTGCAATGACCTGGGCCAGCCCCTAGTTTTATAGGCCTTTGGGCTCACCCTGCATTCAAAGCTGAGCATGTGAACTTGGGCATAAAACGTAGTGGCTGAAGCTTGAAGAAAAAAGCCTGAGATAGAAGCTGAAGGAAACAGGATTGTATACTAAAGAAACACCTTATCCTCTGCCTCTTGCTGGTGTCGAAGTAAGAAATCTGAGATTTTAAAAACGAGACTCTGGAATACGAATTTTAAAAATCAAACAAACAAAAACAAAAAACCCTTGCTAGAGATTCTTAATCAAAAAAAAAAAAAAATCTAAAACTTTTCAGCCAAAGTGTTTGAGGTCAGTCTTGCTGGAAACAGGCAACTAGTCTTGAACTGCGCTTAGTTCTTTCCAGCCTTAGGAATCTCTATTTGCATAAATGGCACTTGGAAATACAGGCATAAGATGTCATTTGGACAGATGCCACTTTCCTCAAATGGAAAAGAACTGGCTCCAGCTGTCCAGAGAAAGTTTTGTGGGAGCAAAAATAAATAAATAAATAAGGAAAGTTCTAAACTCAGATTTTCTATTTGGTCTTCAGTCTGAAGAAAGTTTGATATCCCAGATGAAGAACAAGAGCAAATTAAAACTATGTGTAAAGGCTACTCTGAACATCTTTACTTTAAATGGCAAGCAGAGACCAGGAAAAGACAAGAAATAAATTTAAGGTGCTGGAGTCCTAAACAACCATATCCATTTCTATTTGTTTCCTTTTCTTTTTCTTTTTTCAACATGTTGGGAAAAAACATGCAGAAAGGATGGGCACTGACCCTATTCTTCACAGGGCTGAGAATGGACAAGGCTCACTCCAGGTGCTGAGGGGGGTTCTCAGAACATCAGTGAGGTAGGTGGTAGGTGTCCAACACTGCAGGGCCTGGCTTCCTGCCTGGAGAAGACTCGCTGGACTTCATTACTTTCCATATCTCAAAAGACCAAAATTGACACCTGGCAGAGTAATGAGGTATTCAAAAAACCTGTTCCAAGCAGAAATATTTAGAGTTAGACATAATTTTCTTAAACCTTCATTGTGGGTTCAGAATCAAATAACCATTTCATGCTAATTCGCTTCTTTTGATTCCCATAGAGGCAAGGTTTAGAGTTTTAATCCAGTTTTAATCTGGTCTGAAAAAATACTTCAGCATTCAACGACTTGAAACTTCCTCTGAGAGACTGGGAATTAAATAGATTAAAAGCTTTAAGGAATATGAATATAAATTTGTCTGTATCCATATGTTATATGTTTGTTTCTTTTTTTCACCTGCCCAGGGAGGATATCTATCAGTGCTTATAAACCCTCCGATCATTTAGTACCAAGTTAACCCAATGGTGAACAAAAAAGTGTGCAGAATTCAATACAACACAACACACAACCACAAAGGCCTCAGCACTCGCTCTGGAGTAATAGTGTTCTTGCTAGCTTCTTCCTTGGCCCAGGGCCACCTGCAACCCCCATCTCTGCCCCCGGGCCGAGTGAAAGCCCTCTCAAGGAATTCTCTCTATGCTCGTAAGCGGGTAAGTGAGGGCTCTAGATAAGCCAGCGTGAGAGCAAGGAAAAGACGTCCCCAGGAGTCTCCAAAAAATGTAAAAACACAAAACAAAACCAAAAATGCAACAAAATACCTTGGGCCCGCTACCATGGAGTGGAAGCGGAGCGTTTGGGGAAGCGTGTTTAATAAGGAGGTCTGCGTGTCAGGCAAGGCAGGGCCATCCCCACCACATAGGGGGAATCCCGCATCTGTGTCTGCACAAGCGAGGACAGCATCGTCAGCGGGCCTCCAGTGAGCCTCTCTAAGTGGGAAGACACAACGCCGTCCGTTCTCTGCAGAGGCCCAGAGACCCCCAGAAAGAGTTCTCCTTGATGCAGTGAGAAGCGGTGGTCACATCATCCTTGCTGTGTTCTCCGGCTGGTGGCCAGTGAGTCTCCTTTCTCTGCGGTCGCCTTTAGACTCCCTTCCGCTCTGAGAAAACCAGCAAGGCTTCTCCAAGTCCACCGAGCAGGAGGCTGCAAAAAATGGCAAGAGGTCAGCTTTGCGTTCCCTCAAGCCTGGAGCCTGCCTGGTGCCACATACAGCAGAATAAGAGGTGCCCCTCATTCTGCTGCTGGGATTCTCATCCCACTGCCAGGTCAGGCCCAAGAACCACCCCGTTGTCCATCCAGAGTAAACCTCGGCCATGCACTGGGAGGGGAGTGGGCTGTGAGGTGGGTTTGATACCTTCCCTCAGGGAAGAAGGTAAGGTGTCCACTCATCCTGACCAGGTGGAGGTGACTGCGCTTTGGTTCGTGATCTCTGGTGCAAATACCAGAGGATGGCTTCCCACGGAGCAGTATGGCGCTTTTTGCTAAAGAGGATTGATGGCTATGAAGCCATGCAGGTATCCATAATTGTGGAATTATTAAGGTGATAATCTCCAAATCCTTTTATTTCATTTAGACTAGTAGAGCACTTAAAGATGAAAATACAAATGGAAAAATCATGAATTTCCCTTTGGAGCAGAAATAAACGTGGTCAGTGCTTTGAAAGTGAAAAAGCAGTGGGAGAACTGAAGACTGTAAGAAAAAGGAGAGTTAAATATTTTAACATGCCTAAAATTTAATACATTCAAAGGTCTGGATGTTTTCTATTTTAAACTTCTCAGTAGACAATCTGATGTCTGTCTGAATCCCCTGTCATTCTTCCCAAAAAGCACTTCTGGGGGCCGGGCTGGGTCATCAGTAAAGGATGATGATGGGGCCGGGGTCTCCCCGATTATGAAATGCCCGTGCTCAAAGGTTCCAACAGCCCTTTCCAGTCTACTGTTTTCTTCCGTTCCTCTCCAATCCACCCGCCCGATATCCCAATCCTCCCTTGTACTCATATACAACACACCCGTACACAACACACCCGTACACAACACACCCGTACACAACACACTTGTACACAACACACCCGTACACAACACACCCGCACACAACACACCCGCACACAACACACATCCACTCAGGCATTCAGGCTGTGGCACCTTGATATTTCTAACATCTATCTGGGGTACTGAATATGCGAAACATGTGTAGGCTGTGCACTATATTTCCAGTGAGAAATGTCACCTATGTGGGTGACTCTGACATATAGATAACTTGTACCATTTGCCACTTTTAGTATAGAAATGAATCTACTAAGTGTGAGAATATAAAAACAGTAAGCTGAGTTCCAATTACGGCTCACACATTTATTAGCTATGTAATCCCAGGCATGATATTCAGCCTTCGTTTCCTCATCTGTACCACAGGACATGATCACACCTAACAGTCTCTGTGAGGCTTCGAAGGAGATCCCTGAAGCAATCTACCCCTGTGCTTGGCCTATAATGAATAAGCAATAAAATATTATTATTTGCTGGTCAACTGCCCTCCCAACAGAGCAATCTATCCTCACTGGCCCTCACGGCTGGCTTCTCGATCTCTGCTTGAAGTCTTCTAGTGAGGGGCACATCGTGCTGTGCAAAGCAAGCCTGTCCCACTGTTGAATCTCTAGCCACAGGATTCCAGCAAGCTTCCATGGGCATCTTACTTGTGGAAGCACATGGTTCCTCCCTCATACTGACCCATTCCTTACAACCTTGGCTATGAACCAAGTTCTGCTTCCTGGAGCCATAGAGAACAAATCTGTTCCTTCATCACCCGCCTGTCATCCCTAGAGAGTGAGAAAATCCCTTGAACCACCACCATCTCCTTTCCTTGGTGACTAAAGGCCCTGGGTGAGGGTAGAGAGACGTGCTAGTCATGTAGCCAGGTCCTGGGGGAGTGGTCTGGGAGGATGTCCCCCCAACCCAGGCTAACCACTGGGCTGGAAAGGAGAGGGGCATGTGGGAGCTGTATGCCTAGAATCTTAAGCTCCAAGTTGGAATGTACTTTCCTCTTTCCTATGGAAATATTAGAGTTACAATAAGTTGATAAATTCTCTTTAACATACATTTAGCTCATAATAATGTAGCTGAAGTTGGTGTCTACATTATGAACAAAATTAATTTCTGAGGACTTTCTTAGATCTACAGTCATTGTTTATAGGACTGCTTCTCTGTGAAACTGGGGTCCAAGTTCCAAAAGACCATGTTTTGGAACATGACACATTTGTGGTTATCCTCGGTCTAGTTCAGGACTCAGAGGCTGCAGCGTTCTATTGCCTCTTCTCCTTGGATGAAGTGACTGTGAAGGAGAAGTCATTCTTTTTTTCGTACACTGGCTCACCTCTAAAGACCTGGCTTTTCCCTTCAAGCAGATGGGCTGTTCCCCTGAACGTTCCTTAAAGAACGCATACACCATCTTCTCACACCTGGGCAAGTGCAGAGTCACCATGACCTGATGCAGGGGCTGCACAGTGTTTGGGATTTGGGAGGGTTTTATTTCTGCAAATGTAACTGGGGGCTCAGTGTTTCCTATAATTTCGACTAATCCTCCTTAATCACCAGGGAGAAGAACAGGCTATCAGCTGGCTCTCTGCCACTTTACTCCCCCAGCCTTAGAAAAATGCTGAAGTGTAATAACCTTGCATTTCATCCCTTTGGCTTAGCTAGTTTCTGAAACACCAAAGCAGCTTAGTGTATGCTAAAATGAAAACAAACCTTGATTCAGTTTACTGTTAAGAGAGCCAGGGAAGTGAGCTTTGATGCTGTTTTCTAAACAGCAGGAGAAGCTGACATGGGGTACAAGAATCTTAATAGCATTACAACTATTTAAGTCAGAGCTTTACTGAACTGTTTGCAAATCTTGTAATCCCCATCATTCCTGAAATGAACAAACTTCATGTAACCAAGGCATAAACATCAGATTGCAGAGCATACCCAGCCAAAAATATTCATCACTAGCTTCTGTTCCAGGGGTTTATTTTCAGCATTTCTCCAGTCCTTCATTTTTCTCTCAAAAGGAGCCAAAGGCCCCATTTCAATTTTACATTTATTTATTATTGTGGTTATTCAATGAATTCCTACTGAACCCACTAGACAGAGGACAGAGACTGTATCCTTTTCCCAGCTGGAGGCCCAGTACTTAATGCAGCACCCAAAAAATATTTACTCAATGAATGATGTGTGAATGAAAAAGGGACTATGTAATAAAACTGACAAGCTCAGGGAGGCCACATGGCAGTTCTGCCAAGCTCAGTGACCAAAAGTAACCACACAGAATGGTCTGATCATAAATTCCTAACTGGGCAAGCCATGGCGGTAGTCACATCCCAGGCTTACAGCTTCTTTGGCAAAGGTCAATCTTTACCTTAAGTGAGCCCTGTCCACTGTTTTTATGCACTTAGGATAACATACCTTTGAAACGTCAGAGTAATTTTCTTTTCTAAGACCCCTCAAAGGCACAACTGCTGGCACCAGAGAACAAAATTGCCAGAGCAGGAGACCACAAAACATCTTATTGTTATCTTGTTCCCTGCATACTGTCTCTCTGTGCTATAAATGCTAATTACTAACTATCCCGTACCTGCCAACATAAAAGAAGTATCTGTTACTCCATTTGCTTTGTATCCAATCCTAGAGATTTCCCTGCTTTCTCATGCCTCCTTACGTTTTCTCCTTTGGTTCTAATGCATAAAAGGAACTGGAAAACTGCCATTTTGGGGAGCATTTTCTCAAGCTGTTGAGATCTTGCTTCTGGGTATGTCCTCAAAATTGGGCTCAAATAAACTCTTATGAAACTTTTTGGTAGGTTTGGATGTTCTTTTGTCAACATATGGAATTCTTATACTTGCTCCCCCTTCTCCCATCTATAATCCAACTATTTTTGTTTTTTTCCTCAACAAAACCGTATCTGTCTAATATAACATACCATTCCCTTGGGGACTTACTGAATGACAGTTTATAATCTGATAAATTATTCTGTGCTGTGAGGTAATAAGCCATAGTTATTCGGCAGGTTCTTCTTATCATTTTAAAGAGGTTTCGAATTTTTAATTCAAATGGAAACTTGATAAATTTCAAACATTGTAATCCTAGGTGCATTCTGTGGTGTGTTGGGAGAAGTTCCTTTGTCACCCCTAAATTCATTCTTCCTATAAGTAGACTTGGGCAGTCTCCATGCAGTTCCCTAAAATTAAAGGTACGAGATATCTTTACTCAAAGATAGTGCAAGATCATTTACTAAAGACTCTTGGTTTTAGCAAGGTTTATGTTAGGATCAAGTTCAAGCAATGTTCACGTTGGTAACCCAGTATCAATGGCAGGCTCAGTGAATGTCTGGCCAGGCTAGAAGCTGATCATGAAATCCTAAGAACAAAGAGGTTGTGTCTTGGTTATTTCTCTGTGTGTGCGTACACCACTAAAGAGAACAGTGACTCATCTTGTCTAAGCTTTCAAAGAGGAGGTACCCACAACTAATTCTTGACAGGGACACAGTTCAGAATTTTTTTCTTTTATTTTGTATCAATTGAATCCTCTTTGCTGACGTTTTGGAATACAGGGAATTCATATCAATACATACCATAAAACTCTGTTAATTAAAAAATGAATAATTAAATATTAATCTGGATATTTAAATTACTAGTCTTGCCATAGATTTGTTTTAATAATTAAAAACAAGATCATTAGCTGGACAAGAGCATTTACTTTTAATTAAAGACTTTAAAAGTTGACCAACATTAGGTACTTAGGTTTATAATTTTTCTTGGGTATAGTATTTAGAAGGCTGGACACTCGTTTGTTCAGCAAGCACCTAGTGCTAGGTGGAGAGACAAAAAGGTGAATAAAACGTGGTTCCTCTCCTGGAGGAGCTCACAGCCGACAAGCGGATGTGGTGTGCATACCTAACTCAGCATGATGTGTGCTGACCAGGCTGTGCACAGACGAGGTGGAAGGAGCTGCTGAGGACTTGACACTTACGCTGATCCAAATCTCTAATTAGATCAACAAGTTCCTTAAGATCTTGCTGAAATTTCAAATGGCGTTTTCTCCATGAAACACCACAAACCTTTAGATCTATGATTCCCAACTAAGGTGATTTTGCCCCCGAGGGGACATTTGGCA